TTCTTAACTAATCCTATGGTCTCAGATAGAATCNAAATGCAATAAAGCAGGCAAACGGACCATGTCGTAGTCTATTGGACATCGAACAATGGGCCCATGATTGTTTGACGCTTATGATATTTGTCTAAACAGTCCCACAGAGCACATCGTAAACAAAACATGCTCGTTTTCAGAGATTCTTACTCATCCCAATACATCTCAATATATACACCACTACTTGGGAAAATAAAATAAAATCAAGGATTACTGGAAACGATTCCATCATGAGACAGGAAATTGGATTCACCACGATCGCATATTTGTTTTTTCACTCATCCGACCATCGATATTACTCGCGATACGGGGGTGGATGGGGGGGGGGAAGGAAGATTTAGCGCTGGTGTAAACTATTTTGGGCAGACGAATGCTCAGCGCTTCTGCTTTGGCCAGCATCTAACAGTGAACCTGCCTCGATAACCTCCCACAAACTTCATGCAGGGTACGGAAAGCCTCGTCCACGTCCATAGTGTGATGTGTTTTAGCTTGGTGTGAAACCACTGCATTGGTAAGTGACTTAATCGTTCCGATGTTCAGCCACGCAGGGTGGTGTTCAAGAATCTGTTCGAAAAATCGCCTGACCAATGTTCCACAGGAATAAATAAATGAATACACAGAATCAGACAGCAGAGTCTGGAACTTGGTCCTTCAGTTACAAAACCCAATTGGTTTGAACATGAACAACAAACAAAGAATGGATGCACAGAAAGTATTATCGATTGCGTCGGATAATCTTCTTTGTATCATCTCAGTTGATGCGTCCCCTTTGAACCGCAAAGAAATGTACACGATTTTTTTTCTTGACCTCGGTGAGGACACGTTAAAAGAGCTCCATACTATAAAATCGATCTCTGCACATAACGGGTATCCGTAACGTTTAGTCAGCAAAATGATTCAGTGCACGGAGAACTCTTTACAAAGTACCAAAGCTACGTAATATTCGTATATATTTGTTTGCCGTTCAAAGGGCACACATCAGCTGAGATCATACAAACAAGATAATGCTGTTTATTTGCATGATTTTCTGAATAGAATCAACTGTATCTACGGCTCATGTTGGTTCCACCTAGCCTCGCGCTATTCAAAGAATCTCCAGTCCGAACCCGAGTTCGCTCTATTCGATTCTGACTGCTAT